CATGAAGGCGTGGGGGAAGCCGAGTGTCTGGGGAATGCTGAGCCGCTACAGATGGCAGCAATGCAATGTGAGAAGAAAGAAGAGGAGACAGAATTGGAGAGGGAAGGGGAGACTAGCACACCTTCTGAGCTGTGGACTCTATCCTAGCAGCATTAGAGGGGCTGAGGTCAGTGAGGAGGGTGAGATGAGCAGTGAGCCAGAGAAGTTAGGGTGGGAAGAAAAGTGTTCTGTTTAGGCTTCGGGTCAGACATCTGGAATCGGTATCTTGACCAAATGATTTGAAGTATGGGCAAATTAAAAAAATCTCTCTAGGTCTCATCCATTAAATTAGGGTAAAAATATACTTATATGTCCTAGGATCATCGTGAGGGTTAGTTGAGAAAATACTGGTAAAACCCTTAATTCAGAACATAGTAAGGCTCAGTCAGTGCTTGTTACAATTAAGAGTAGATGGTAGTAATTGACCATTTTTCTTGCCTGGAAATGCCACTTCCCCCCTCTCTTTGATGCTGTCAGAATGCTGGCCTTGGTTGGTTGTTAGTGCTGTGTTTCTCTTGAGCTCCCCTGACTACTCATCAGTTGGGACATCAAACAAGAGGGCAGGTAGAGACCTCTCCCAGCCCCCAAAACTGCAGAGTGCAGATCCCTTTGCCGCCTGACCCTTTGCTTCCAGCTGGTGGCCAAGATTGGAATATCTCAAGAGTACCATTTGGCTGATCCATGCTTTGGGTGGGCCATTTTCTGAAAACTTCTTGAAGACTGAACCCATCGTAGCGGTCTGTTTGACCTTCCCTAAGGGCAATGTTACTTCCTGCCACCCACCAGATGCAGCTCTGCACATAGTGACGTCCATGACCTTGGTTCTCAAAGCAAAGATGACAAAGTCCAGGGGGCATCTTGAGAGCATGTGGGCAGAATATGTGGTGTGCATGACTGTTGTTCCCCTGAGAGTTTATATACCAGAGTCCGACCAGACCACCTGCTAAAGGTAGCCTTAGGGAGAAAAAAAGGGGCTGGGGCACATGGAAGTTGGTATGTGGAAAGTCTGAGTGGCTTGGTCTCTTTCTTGTTGCCAGGTCCTCACACATGATGGTTGAGGCAGGGATAGAGAGTGGGAAAAACAAACCTTGTTCTCCATAGGTCCCAAGCATCCTGTGGCTCCCAAAACCTTTCAACCCCTTTCTCTTTTCTATAGCCTTTATTTAAACCCAGGCTGGGGAATGAGGACAGAGGCCATGAAATCCTGCACTGCACACCTGGGCATCCCATTGGGCCTTCCTTTGGCTGCCATGATATTCCCAGAAATCTGTGCCAGACACTACAAGGAAGAGTATCTAGGTTCAGACTCCCCACCCCTGGGATTGGCCCCAAACATCACTTCAGCCCCCTTCCCAGTACCTTTTGTCCTGCTCTCTCAGAGCACCTGTAGCTTTTCTTATCCAGCTATCTTCCTCTCCTTTTGTTGTTCACGTTTATTCTCGTATCTCCTATTACTTCCTTGGCTCCTCCTAAATGATCGCTCACTATTCTCCATCTTTGGGATTCCTGACATGACCTTGACCCAGCTTCCTGGAACTGCCTGATGATCCCAGAAGGGATCTAGATACCAGCCCAGCTCTCCTTGCAAAGGAGAGAGTTTGAGGAGTGTGCCTGCAGGAGGGGAGAGGGCCCACGGCTGATGACAGAGACCTGACAAGACTCTTGATGTCACCTCACTGCCAGCTGCCCTTTCTCATTCCAGCCCTGCAGGGACAGGTGGACTCACTTGGCTGGCCGTACAAAGCCGGAGTGGTGATGAGGATGAGGAGAAAGAGGGCAGCCACAGAGAACTTCATCCTCTCCGGGGGACCCTTTAGCTTCAGGGGAGGCTGGTTGTCCACTCTGACTTCACAGCTGCTCTCTGTACTCTGACCACTTCAGAGTGGGTGGAGGAGAGAAGAGGTGCCTCCCTCTGTTTGCCAAAAGGAAGGGTGGGGCTTGGCGCAGAGTTGAATTAATAAGTTTTTTTTTTAATGTTTATCTATTTTTGAGAGAGAGAGAGAGAGAGAGAGCAGGGGAGGAGTGGAGAGAGGAGGGGGCAGAGAATCCCAAACAGGCTCTGCACTGATAGCCATGAGCCTAATGGCCCCCCCGCCCCCCCTCAAATTCATGAATCGAGATCATGATCTGAACAAAAGTCAGACCTTCAACCAATCTGAGCCACCCAGGTGCCCTGAATTAATAAGATTTAAATTCACCAGGAGAGGAGTAGAGGAAGGGAACATGTGGTTCACGTGTGCTGTGTGTCAGCCACCTTATATAGGCGCTGTTTGACTTAATTCTCACCATAGTGAAGCGGAGATTATTATTCCATTTTATAAATGAGGCCACTTGAGGCTTAGAGAAGTTAAATTCTCCCAGGTCACAGAGATGAGAGGCAGTTCTGCAAACCAGATCCGTGTGATTTCACCACATTACCTGCCACCATCTCTATTTTGGGGAAAGGGGGAGGAAAGGGGGTGGAACCACCCCAGTACCCTCAGGTGATCGGTCTTTGGGAGGGTGAAAATAAAGCAGGATTAGAGAGATCACAGACTGGAGCGAGGATAGGGTTTAGGCCTCTGAAAAGGATGCCTCCCATCCCCAGTCTAACGACACATGGCTCAACTCACACCTTTTCCCGTCACAGATTGTGTTAGTAATACTGAGAAAAAACAATGTGCGATCCTTGAGTCCTCATTTATTGCTGAGGTCTTTGGCTTATTCGTTAATGTTCTTTTATCTCTTTGGACCTTGGACTCTGAACCACCTTTAGATCTAGTTGGCCAGCCCTCCTGCTTGCCTGCGATATGGGTTTATCCAACCGGCTACCGCGGCCAATCACGGCATGCAGAGGGCGCTCCAACCCCACGCACGTGATAATCTCTTAGGTGTTTCTGAGCTTCTCGGCCAGGGGCCTTGACTAGGGCTGACCTGCCCCTCCGCGTCTTCTCTCTTCAGACTGCCTCAGGACCCCATTCCAGGGATTGAAGGTAGAATTCCGAGAAGACATGGAAGATATAGGGGATTTTGGCAGGCGCTTTAGAGGCATAGTGGGGTGCGTTTCAGTAAATGAAAGTAGACTGAAGCAGGGGCGTATGAAATCCTTATGGGGCTTGCTGTTTTGCATGACTGCTCATGAATAGGGAAAAACTATATAATGCATTTCGTCCTGGTGGGTTCAAGGCAGTGGTGGTGACACTATGGCTTTTTAGGACGGTAGTATGTATGTATTTGGGTACCCCCTTGACCATTGTTTTTGGAGGTGAGGAGGTCTGAGGAAGCCTGGTTGTACCTTTAGCATATAAGTATCTTCTTGGCCCTGGTGTGTGGAAGATGGTGGCCTGGGAAGAGTGGGCACTGTACCTACACTGGCCATGCTCTTACTCTGAGGAAGAGGATCTCCTCCTTGAACCCCGAAGATGGGTCTGAGAGCTTTTGGGGGCAGCTGGGTATTATTCATGGAGCATAGCATCCTCTTGATTCCTGTATCTTTCTATCCAGCCATCAGTCCATCCATTTCCTGAGTACCTGGTATGGGCCAGGCTTTCTGTTAGGCCTTGGTGGAGGACACAAAAATGGGCATAACAATATAGTACAACCTGATGTATGCAAGTGGAGGGGGAAGGGTTGGATAAAATCATTCTTATCCCAGATAGCTGGGAACAAGGGCCTTGGGAGCAGCACAGAACAAAGGACTTTGAAATTTGGCTGCTACGAAGACTTTATGAAGATTTACCTGCAAAATCAGGTGATAATTCTTAGCATTACACTTGTGTAGCTTATATAAATAAGATAATACACTCAGACTGTTTAGCAGACTGCTTGAAAGGTAGAAAGTGGTAAGGCAATGGTATCTGTTATCATCATGATGATTATTATGTAAAGGTGGCCTTAGCTTCCCGCCACCCCCATCACAGGCCTGACCTGTTTTTTTTGCATCTAGGGCTGACCACATTTCTGTAGAGCAAAGCCTGATGCCAAGAGTGCCACCCAGCTGGGCTCCAAAGAGTAGATCTGGTAGAAATGAATGAGGACAGGGAGGGCATAAATTCTAGGTCTTTAATTCAAGGCAGGACAGCTCCCAGAAGGTGTCGGGCTGAGCATTGGGACTGAGAGGGGGGCCTTGGCCTCTTCTTCAGATGGCCAGCTCATTTCTCCTCCAGGTCCTTGATGTAGTCCTGGACCCAGACGTCATTGGGGTTGGCGCATATGGAATGGCCCTTTTTGGTGATGAAGCTATGGAGCGAAAGGGAGAAGGGTTACAGACTCAGGCACCAAGCAGTGAAGTGTGAGCTGGTCAGCCTCCCAGATTCCTCACCCATCTAGGCTGTTTCTCCTTTCTTTGTCAGAGGCAGCTCAAGACCAGTCTCCTCTCTGAGACATGCTCTCCAGCCCCTCGGGGACCCTGGACCCATCTCCATGCTTCTCCTGCCCCTGGAAGTGCCCTCCTGCCTTCCCTTCCCCTCCCCTGATGCCTCCCCATGCATGGGCTCAGCTTCCTCCTGGTTCCCCAGAGGCTCAGCCAGGCCAGAAAGCCCCCAGGTTTCCCCTCCGCTGCCTGTCACTGCACCTGAGAAGTGCTCTGGGGAGTCCCCACTCCAGTTCCTCCCTATCCCCCAGGGCTTGCAAGCTTCCTGTCCCCTGGTATATGGTGTGTGAGTGCCACCTACACCACTCCGGGCCTGGAGCACTGGCTGCTGGTCTCATAATAACCCGTGATCCGATGACGTGCGATTGCCTGGGCAATGTAGTTGAAGCAGCACTCGGCCGGGTGGTAAGGTCCTCCTGAGGAGAGAGCAGGGAAGGAAGTGGACACTGAGTTCTCTGCTAAAGGCCAGAGCTGCTGGCTGCTTCTGCACTATAGAGGGTGGAAGAGGGAAAGGAGGAGGAGGTGGCCTCACAGAATTTGGAGGGAGGGTTGTGCAGAGACTTGGTCCTCCGGCTCCTCTTTCCCTCCTCCTGCATCCACAATCACCCTCCTTCCTGTTCTTCAACCTCTCCTAGAAAGACTGGCTGATGACCTTCAACTCCAGATTGAAGGTTAGCAAAGCCCAAATCTTCTCAGTGAGTACACACCATCCCTGTGGGGCAGGCTCGCACAGGTGTTCCAAAGAGGAGGGATATTCGGAAGAAATGCCAATAGAGACAGGGACACACGCCAGCTGGGAGTGCAGACCCAGCCCTTCCCAATCTGGGAGATTGGGAAAATGGGGTTTTGCCTGTGTCCCAATTAAACCCCTGTCCTGCAAAGAAGGAAGCCAACACCAAGGCCCAAGGACACCAAGGGAGTCAGGATACCCAGGTCCCAACCTCTCTTGCCTTTGCTGGCCATATGCCCATGGTAACTTTGTTCCCCTCTCTGTTTCCTCCTCTGTCAATGAGCCTGTTGGGCTGGGTTGGTGGTTTTTACACTGAGTTTCTGGGGGTCTTGGGGCTTTGGGGACTATTTCAGAGGTACTGATGCATTTGGGACTAGAGTTTTAGAGATAGTATCCCATTCAGCCCTTTTTTGCTGTGTCTGAGTAATCTTTTGCTGGAAGAAAGGTTCCCTGGTCTAAAAAATGTTAGACATCACTGGATTAGGTGAACTTTTCAGTTACTTTCTGATTTCTAAAATTTCATGGCTCTTACAGCAGGTGCAAGAGAGTGACTGGAAATAATCCGTTCCTTCAAGCTTCAATTATGGAGGTAGCAGGAAGGTTACTTCAGAACGAGGGCCCTGGAGAAACAAGTAGGCACTGCAGTCATGGAGTGGAGTGTTGGGGGTGTGCATGTTATGTGCTCAGCCTGGACAGAACCCTGTGTGTGTTGGCAGTGGCCTCTGAGGTTGCAGAGGGGCAGCTGGATGCTTGGGTGGGAAGGGAACAGCTGGGTCTTTTATCCAGTTCCATTCCAGGTAGCATCCTATGTCTCCAAAGAATGGAATAAGGGGTCCACTGGTTCCTGGGACCAGTCTCAACCTATTCCTCTGAGAGGAATCTTCTCAGAGAGGCAAGTCGAACTGTCCAGATTACCACTAACTTTAGACTGGCTTTATTTCAACAACCCCCTCTGTTTCCTCCCAGTTTCTGAGAAGAAGCTGAGGTAAAGATGAAGGGTGAGGCATGGTTTTGGTTGTGTGTAAAGGCAGCTCATCCTAAGAAATAAGCTGGAAAAAGGTGACCGAGGTGAGACCCCCCCACTGTTGTGGTCGCCCTCAGCCCATACCTAAGCAAGGCCACACCTTTGGGTAGGGCTGACCCTGGAAGCCGGCAGCCCCAATCTCAGAAGGCAAGCAGACAAATGGCTCCTCTGTATCCCTGGGGATAATGTCCCCCAAATAAGGTGGGCTACTCTTACTTAATGGCAAAGAGAGATGAACTGAGGGAGTGGAGAGGCAGGTTCACTCCATGGCCTTGGCAGGAGGGGGGACTAGTCCCGGGAGAGTGAGGACAAAACCAATTGCAGAAGATCCCAGACCTCCTCCTTGTCTCTCCAGCAACTTTACTCCTGCTTCTTTCCTCACAGGGGCAAGGATGGAAGGAAGACAAGGTATTGCACTCACGTGAAGAGGATTTAGCCGTGGACACCAGGGCACCGGTGATGAGGAGGAGGAAGAGGGAGATGGCAGCCATGGAGACTTTCATCCTCCTGGGTTGAGGGAGCTGCTGCAGGAGGAGAACTTGCCTGGTAGGGGCTTCTGAAGCTCCTGGGCTGAGGTGGTGGTAAGAAATGACCTTCAAGGCAAAGTATTTCTTACAATAAGGGAACCAAGATTACAAAGGGAAGTAGGAAGCAGTGATGCCTCAGCAATTTCATATCCTGAACATTTGTTGAGGGTGGAGTGAGGGAAGCATGGAGAGCCAAGATTTCAGGGAGGAAATTGCCTTCTATTCCCAGTGGCAATACATTTAACTCCTTTGATATAAGCCCTTCCTTTGGTATAGGCTACAGCACAGGGCCTGGGGGTACTGTTGCGCACTTAGTTCAAGATCTAAAGGCTGGGATGTGGCCTGTGACCATTTGGGGAGGTTCAGAATCTGTTTGTCTGGAGATCAGAGGTGATTTAGGGTACCAGGATGAGGTCAGGAGCTCCCCATGTCCAGTCTCACTCATCTGGACTAGGAACTCCTCACTTAAACATTTAACCAGAACCTCCAGCTCCCAGACTCATTGCTACCCTCTCACCGTACCCTGGGGTGAGGAAACACTGTGATGCTCCGTAGATAATTTATTTAACAAACATTACATAACAGCTACACACAGCAGCCACTGTCCCAAATGTTTTATGAATAATAGCCCATTTTATCTTAAATAAGCAATGGAGGAAACTGAGGCACAGCATAAGTAACTTGCCCAAGCTTTGACAGTTGATAAGTGGAATCTGGGTTCAGACCCAGGTAGTCTGGTTCCCAAGTCTGTGTTCTTAACCACTATGCTGTGGAGAAACCTGGGGACCCCAACTGAGCTGTCTCTGAAAGTGACCTGGCTTTTCTACAAAGCCTCTAGTCTTAGCTCTTTCTGATCTCGGGTGTATCCCTTTAGGACCTTCTCCTGGCTTCTGACTTTTGTCACAGAGAAGCTTGATGAGTACCTAGAAAATGCTGTGTTCAGGGATGGCCAGTAGGCTTCACTGATTAGCAGTGGGCTGGAGTTCTGCGTTGCATAGTATTCCAAGGCCGTGTCCACACACCTCAGAAGAAGTGCTGTGACTAACACATGCAGCTCATGTGCTATGTACTTGCCATCCTTAGATTGGTCTAAACTGGCCATTTACTGAGGAGGAATTCAGGCTCAAGAAAGGGCCAGGGACTTGCTCATATTTATAGGATGAGCGGGGTGCAGAATAGATCCACCTCTGCAGACTCAGTCCAATGGCCTTTACCATATTCAGCTTAGGGGCCATTTTGCTTACTGTTGCATTTAGAAGGCTGTTTACATCTCCTCTCCTTTCCTGGACTCATCAGGGCAGGGAACATCTGTTATTTATCTTTGCCCATTCATAAAGAGCCTAACACAATTTGTAAATACATGTTTTAGAAGAACCATGAATAAAGTACTTGAGCTGGTCTAAGTATGTGCATCTCACAGGAAATGGCTGAATTCTCATGCTGAGGTGCCAAGACAGCCATTTATTAGACATGTTCTGTATTTGTTATCATCAATAACAAAACTATTTAAACTCTTCAAATCAAACAATCTAAGGAAATAAGTTGTTTCTGGGGAGAATATGAGTTGGAAGGAAACAGTGTTTACTTTGTTTTCATGGCGACTTAGCCCACTTGCCAAGTTGTTGCTAGGAACCTTACAGGAAATCTCTTGATTTTTCAAGCAGTTATTAAGTTCCTACCTACATTAGTCTGTATATACTAATTGCTAATAAATAACCCCTAAATCTCAGGGGATTAATTAAATGAAGGTTTATTTCTTGCTCATGTCACAGTCCAATGTGTATGAGCAGTGGAATGAGGGTATGTGTGTTGGAGAAAGCTGTTTCTATTTATGCATGTATTCAGGGACTAAAGCTTCTTCTGTCTGTAATTTCCCCAAGTTTCAACAATAGGTCTCTAATTTTGCTACCATAGTGGAAAGCAGAAGAATTGGGAGGTTTTTATGTAACAGTTGTGGGAATGATATAAATTGCTTTCACTTATACTCCATGGCCAGAATGAAGTCACCTGGCTCCAATTTAATGACAAAAGTATGGAAAAAATATATCATCTGTGTGTCCAGGAGGACAGTGGGATGGGTTTCATGACTGCATCACTTCTTTGCCACAATATCAAATTCTAGGTACTGGGCTATACTTGCAGTGTGGGAATGAAGATGACCCTGACCTCAGAGGAGTCATAGCTTAAAGAGGGACTCAAAAAAGTAAATGAAAACTGAAATGCAGTGGGATGAATGTAACTTGGTAGCAACATAGAGGTCCTAAATGTTCTGTTGCCCACTGGTAAGTATGCAGTACCTGTTTAAAAAATATTGAAAATAGTTCCCAAAGCAAGACATATACATTGATTTAAAAAATCAAATAATCCAGAAAGGTGTGTGGAACATAAATTCTCTGAGTTCTTGCTTGTCTGAAGAAGTCATTATTCATCCCTCATACTTGATTGATATTTTTTTGCTGGGTATAGAATTCTACACTGAGAGTATGAGAATTTTTTCTGGAGTGGAACTTTATTTGTGGTGACCTGATTTTTCCTCTCTCTAGATTTTTTTTAGGTTAATAGTCTTTTTACTGGAAAAAAAAAGACTAGCATTTATAATTTGGAATGGACGTAAATTGTAATTTCTTGAACAGCAGTGATGATGATTGTGCTGAAGTCTATAGCCACAGCCCACTTTGCTGGCTCCAAATCATGGTTCAAAAGATTTCAAAAACAGAGTCCAAAGGTGCTTCCCTGGTAAAGGTTTCTTTTAAAAATTTGTGTGAATGGTGACAGCCTGACACCCATTTTGCTCTAGCACAATGTGGTCAATACTAAAGCAACACATGCAGCATGTCACCAGGATGTGTTTCATCATCACCATGGGTCAGGGCCCATGGAAGGACAAGAGGGCCATCCTACTAAGTGGGGCTATGTCTAGACAGTTTATCCTTCACCCATATTTCTGCACAGCATCCTGAAGTGAACCAATTTTAAATGTTTGTTTTCAGTGAACCAGCTATGACAATTTATACTAACATATTGAACTAGAACTTATTTGAATAGATTTATAAATTTTCCTTCCTTCCTTCCTTCCTTCTTTCTTTCTTTCTTTCTTTCTTTCTTTCTTTCTTTCTTTCTTTCCTTCCTTCCTTCCTTCCTTCCTTCCTTCCTTCCTTCCTTCCTTCTTCCCTCCCACTCTCCTTTCCCTTAACTTAGGCTTCCTGTTCAGCATGGAGCCCAATTCAGGGCTTGAACTCATGGCCCTAAGATCAGGACCTGAGCTGAGATCCAGAGTTGGATGCCTAATTGACTGAACCACCCAGACACCCTCATTTTTCATTTTTAACACAAATGCCTGACTCTGCTCAGTTGTCAAGCAGCATGTATGAAAAACTGGTCAACCCAATGTATTAATCATTAACAAATGGAACTGCAAGGGCTCCTCCAAGTACTTTCATATTGTTAAGGTAGTACAAGTATTTATATTGTAAAACTGATGGGTAGATTGATCTTCAAAGGACAGGACCACCAACCAATACATGCAGATTTTGTGTGTGTGGACAGAAGGTACCTTTGATATTCAGTTTTGCTGTATGGAAACAGAACAAATTAATTAAATTTTTTTTTTTTTTTTTGGCAAGAGGTAAGTAAAAGATTCATTTTCTTCTAGAGGGGGAAAAGAAGTTGAAAGTAGGTCTTCATTTGCAGTCCTCATCTGTATAAATTATTTATTTATTTATTTATTTATATATTTTTAATGTTTATTCTTGAGAGAGAGTGCAAGTAGGGGAGGGGCAGAGAGGGGAACAGAGGATCAGATACTGGGTTCTGTGCTGAAAGCAGAGTCCAATGCAGAGCTTGAACCCACGAACTGTGAGATTGTGACCTGAGGCGAAGTTGGATGCTTAACCGACTGAGCCACCCAGGCACCCTTTTTATTTTTTTATTTTATAGAGAGGGTGCAAGTGGGGGAGAGAGGCAGAGGGAGAGAATCTTAAGCAGGCTCCATACTTAGCATGGAGCCCAACTCGGGGCTCAATCCCAAGACTCTGGGATCATGACCTGAGCCAAAAACAAAGTCAGATGCTCAACCAACTGAGCTGCCCAGGTGCCCCGTACAAAATCTTCATAGTTGTTTGTCCATCTCCATCAGTATATGGCTCTCTGATCATTTCACTGAATTCTTCATCTGTTAGTGTTTCTCTTAAGTTTGTCATGACATGACATAGTTCTGCCACACTGCTGTAACTATTGGCATCCTTGTCAAAGACTCAGAATACCTCATGAATTTCTTCTTTACTGTATGTATCTTTCATTTCTAACCATCAGAGTAAAAAATCCTGGGAAGTCAAGGGTGCTGTTACCATCAGCATCCATCTCATTGATCATATCCTGCAATTTGGGTTCTGTTGCGCTCTGACCCAATGACCTCATGGTGGTTCTAATTTCCTTTGTTGTGATGATGCCATCACCGTCTTTGTCAAATAGGGAGAAAGCTTCCTTGAACTCAGCAATCTGTTCTTTGATCAGCTGACCAACCATGGTGAGAGCGAAGGGTGGAAGAGCAGAGGGAGCCAGGGTGGCTGCCCCAGTGCAGGGGCTCTGACAGCAGGGGACGCCCCACTGCTGCTGCTAAGGTGTGGTGTGCACTCAATACTGAGTAAACCGGCTGTGCCTGTGAGGCTGCCAGCACCACTGCCCCTCTCTCTAGGAGATTTTAGGATTTCTTATTTATCCTTTTTTTTTTTTAATTTTATTACTTTTTGGCACAAGAAGATGATCCAGGCTCATCTTATACTTTGCCCTAGCTCTGGGAACCTGCCATTTCTCCAATGAGCCCTGGATCCCATTAGTGAAGGATGGTTTTGAAAACCCAGGATCTGGGTGCTTACAGTGCTCATTGCTATGGGAAGGGCATTACTTTTAGGTCTGAGCTCTTAGTGGACAAACTAGGAAATATATTGAAGTATATATGTGTAAATGTGTGTATAAACTTGTATCTATTTCTATTATATCAATTTCACACATTTGTAGCAATTTCTACGTCATTGGTCTAGGTAAATGAAAAGCCAAAAATTTATACCAATACATTCAATTCCAAGTCAACACACAGGGTTTATTTTAATCTTCCCTTTTTAAGTTTCTCTCCCTACTTTAGTAGTGAGAAATCTGGCTCCCATTAACCTATGTTTACCTTGAACTGTCCCCTGTATGTAACAAATCTTCTGGCCATACTGGCCGTGTCTTTTGTCCTGGTCATATTGGCCTCAAGCATGTGGGTCATGCCCTCTGCCCCTGCCCTAACTGAGTCCTCAGGTGAGCCCCCTAGTTCACACTAAGAGAATGAATACATGAAGAAAAAAAGAGAGAGAGAGAAAAGGGAATGAGCTATATATTACTTCTAAAATTTACACTGTGGTTCTAAAAGTAAAATAGTAAAAATATAGATTTTCCATTTGCTATTTTATGCCTTGATGATTTCTATGCAGCTTTATTAAGTTTTTTTCAACTTTTAAGCACATTTTTTCTAGCTGCTATGCACAACTCCTAAGGTTTTTACTTTAAAAAATTCAACATTGGCTGTCAGACTTTTTTTTTAGCCATGTTTAAACTTTCCCCAGTTGTATATTTCTTAAAAAAATTTTTTTAGAGGCGCCTGGGTGGGTCAGGCGGTTAAGTGTCTGACTTCAGCTCAGGTTATGATCTCGCGGCTTGTGAGTTCCAGCCCTGCATCAGGCTCTGTGCTGACAGCTCAGAGCCTGGAGCCTGCTTCAGATTCTGTGTCTCCTTCTCTCTCTACCCCTCCCATGATCATGCTCTGTCTCTCTCTGTCTCTCAGTAATAAATAAATGTTAAAAAAAATTAAAAAAATTTAACGTTTATTTATATTTTATTTTATTTTTTAATTTTTTTCAACGTTTATTTATTTTTGGGACAGAGAGAGACAGAACATGAACGGGGGAGGAGCAGAGAGAGAGGGAGACACAGAATCGGAAACAGGCTCCAGGCTCTGAGCCATCAGCCCAGAGCCTGATGCGGGGCTCGAACTCACGGACCGGGAGATCGTGACCTGGCTGAAGTCGGACGCTTAACCGACTGCGCCACCCAGGCGCCCCCGTTTATTTATATTTTAGAGAGACAGAGCACCAGTGGCAGGTGGGGGGGGGGGGCAGAGCAAGAGGGAGACACAGAACATGAAGCAGGCTCCAAGTTCTTAGCACAGAGCCTGATGTGGGGCTCGAACTCACAGACCGCAAGATCATGACCAGAGCCGAAGTTGGATGCTTAACTGACTGAGCCACCCAGGTGCCCCTACTTGTTTTATAATTAGACAGCTCTGATGAGTTTCATCATAAAAAAAAAATCAAATATCGACACAAGAACTGGCCCATTTTGTTGTTTGTTCTTTTTTTTTTTAAGCTTATTTATTTATTTTGAGAGGGAGAGGCAGATAGGGAGAGAGAATTCCAAGCAGGCTCCAAGATGTCAGCACAAAGCCTGATGCGGGGCTTGATCTCATGAAACCGTGAGATCATGACCTGAGTGGAAATCAGCAGTTGGACGCTTAACCGACTGGGCCACCCAGGTGTCCCTGTTGTTAGGTCTTGAGAAGACCATAAAGATTTATTTTTTCAACTCTTTGAAATTATTTTTTGATTACTAACAAAACATGTACTTTTTATAAAAGTTGCAAACAGTGCTCAAGTGACAAAGTCAGAAGTGAGAATTCTTCTTCAAATTCCCATTCCTCCCTGTAGCAT